GTCTTGTTTCCCGCCCGGCAGCCCTATCGCTGAAACTCAGCTCAATGGCAGGAGAAAGGCTTAGTCGGGTCAGGTTAGCTGGGGTACTCGAGTCTTCCTGGCCAAGAGCACCCCACTTTGCCCATGCTTCTGTGCATGCATATGAAGAGATGCTGCAGTCTCCGCTGACCATGATCAGCTGTTATTTCCTTTTTATATGTGTCAGTGTGGAACATATTAAAATTTCTCAGTAGTGGTATGTTAGGAATCCCTCTGATGCCCCACCTCTAACTTAGCAGAACAATAAAAGCAAGGTTGTAGTAAGCCTTTGAGCAGCTGGCCGTCTATATATTCCTTCTTTTTTCACATAATCTAATTCAGACTATTATCCGGGTAGCAGTGGCACTACCACTTCCAGACACCATCAGTCCTTGTCCTGTTTGCTGGAATTTCACTACGTGGCGCAAAGATCCTTTCTACCATAGACAAGCGTAGCCTTTCTTCTGGTGTCAGGGTGCCATGGAGATACCGGTCCTAGGAATTCCACCGCATCGCTATTTTTCAGCTTCTCTTTGTTATTTCTCTATTTGCATCAATCATTGTTACGGTTTACGCTTGTCACATTTACATGCTTATTATTACTGAGCTGCAAACTGTGTGTTGGTCCGGCAGTGCGGAGGCAGCACAGGTTATGTTGCCCTGTAAGACATGTGAGTTGAGGATCTGAGTTAATGCCTCAGCTCTGGTTTTGGCAAAGGTTAAGCATACCATGGCAGTGACAATCACATTACTGTCATAGCAGCACGGCTCAAAGAGAGTGGGACCTAGGGGAATGCTGTTCCCCTTGTTAGAAGACATACTATTGTTATCATGAGCCAAATACTTAGGTTCCTTAATTATCAGAAGCCAAGGTATATGGATGGTGGTCTGAATTTTTCCTGTGTATAAAAGAAGAGAGGATTTTGCCCCTAGGGTGAGAAAAGAAGGAGCATCCCCTTCAATCATGTGCTGTCTCCAGCATGCATAGCACTCTCTGCTGGTCCCAGTGGCAGGGATGTCTCTGCTTAGTATTAAAGAACAAGAAACCCGTTCCTACTCCTGCATCTATTGATAACTACAGTCCTTTGAGTTGTCTAGAAAATATGTAAAAGACAGGGAACAAAAACTGCCCACCTGCCTGTAACACACTCCAACAGGTAGAGGACACATGCCTGAATGCCCTAGACCTCTCAGCGACTTGTAATTTGGCCAAGAGTCATTTTGCCTCATGTTGGGTCATAAGACTAAAGTAGAGGTAATTACTGAAGCAAATCCTATAGCTAATGCTCGGCTGGGAATATTTGCACTTTAGCCAGCAGCCACCCTTGCTGGTTTGCCTCCCGAGAGGGATGGGCAGCCTGACTCCGACAGCTCGGCTCTGCTCCTGGTGCTTCACCGAGGAGTGATCCCATCCAGCACCCTCTGGATGGGCAAGTGGAAAACTGTATTTCTCTCAGTTCCTGTCCCAGGCTCAAGACTATGACTGCTCTGATATTCAGCAAGACACAAAAATAAAGAAAGAATCCAAGGCTGGCATCACCTCACCATTAAATGGCTCTACTAGCTCATTAGGGAGAGATCCCATGCATGCCCCTAATCAATCTATTTAAAGTTTCCTGGAAGCAGGAAAAGGAAAGAATAAAAATACAAGCGCCCTTTTGTCCACCAGTAGTTATTCTTTGCGAGTGTATTAAAAACCTTTTCTCCATGTTGGCCT